TGAACACGTTCTTCCTCGACCCCCCCGCCGGTCTCCGGCTCCTCTACAACGTGGCCACCTACCTCCTCGTCACCATCCCCGACGCCTACCGGGGTCGCGTGTGCGGACTGGGTGGTAACTACAACGGGGACCCCGGTGACGACTTCCGGCTGCCCGGCGGGTCCCTGGCACAAAGCACCGAGGAATTTGTCACCTCCTGGAAGATGCCGATGGAGGACAGAGCGTGCACGGATGGCTGCAACGGCAAGGTCTGCCCCGTGTGCGATGCCACCGACACGGCTTCCTATGTCACCAGCGATTCCTGCGGGCTCATTCGGGACCCAGCGGGACCTTTCAGGCTGTGTCACCCACGGGTGAGCCCGGTGGAGTATTTCAACCACTGCCTCCACGACGTCTGTGCTGCTGATGGTGCCCGTGATGTTCTGTGCCACAGCCTCCAAGCCTACGCCGCTGCTTGCCAAGCTGCCGGTGCTGAGATCGCCGGGTGGAGAACGACCACTTTTTGCCGTAAGTGTTCCAGAATGTCTCCATGAAGCCCCTTCAACTCCCGTTTTCCTCCAAAGCCACATTTTTCCCCAGCAAAACCCTCCCAATTTTGCAATCACGGCTTTTTTCTCCTGTTTTTGAGGCAAACGCGCCTCCGCTGTCTGGACCAAGAAGACATACGAATGACCTGTGTAATATCACGCCAGGTTGCCTTTTGCCTGACTCCCCCAACTAGCTATCAAATAGCCCTGAAATTATTTTTAAACCTCAAAAAAACCCCTCATTTTGGGGCTTCAGTCACCTATTTCCCACCAAAAACACCCTGGAAGAAAGAAATTTCAGCTCACCACCTCCAAAACGTCAATATTTGTGTCCAATGAATTCAGCTTTGTCTTGAGGAGATTAGTGATACGCAAATGCTTTAATTTGGACGGGAAAACCAGGATCCAGTCATTTTAACTTCTTTTGGAGCCATCAGAGATGTCCAAGACTGTTCGTTAGCCATGGGGATGCCCCATTGGGTCCAGGAAAAATGGTCATGATTTTTTTTTTGGGGGGGGGGCAATAATGGTATTTCTCCCTTATTTTCCAGCCCTGTCCTGCCCACCCCACAGCCACTACGAGCTCTGCACCCGTACGTGCGACTTCACCTGCGCCAGCCTCTCCGTGCCGGCCCCGTGCAGCTGGACGTGCTTCGAGGGCTGCCAGTGCGACGATGGATACCTCTTCGATGGAGAAGCCTGTGTGTCCCTGGAGCAGTGTGGTTGCATGCATCGGGGACGGTATTTCAAGGTGAGGTTGGCCATCAAGGTTTTGGCGTTGGTGTTTTTGGTGGAAATCAAGTTGAGGAAGGATTGTGGGGTGAGTTGTCCCATCTGGATGATGCAACTGGTTTGGGGATTCAATCTTTGATGAGGTTAGGTTGTTCCATCTCGTGGACGCAACTGGTTTGGAGACTCAATCTTCAATGAGGTGGGTTATCCCAACTTGATGATGCAACTGCTTTGTGGCCTCAATCTTTGATGAGTTGGGTTGTGCCATTGAGTAGACGCCACTAACTTGGAGTCTCAGTCTTCAGTGAGGTGGGTTGTCCCATCTAGATGATGCAATGGATTGGAGGATTCCATCTTTGATGAGGTTGATTGTCCCACTTAGTCAACGCAACTGGTTTGGGGACTCAATCTTCGATGAGGTGGGTTGCCACTTTGTTTTAAGGCCACGTGTCCAAAATAATGCAGTTAGTAGCAACCTAAAATGCATATTTCGCTCTGCTGGACCACGGGGAAAAGGCCATTAATTCGTTGAGTTGCACAAACTCTACCAAATCCATCTCATGTTTTTTTCTTTCTCTCTCTGGGATTTCTTCCTCCCTTGAAAGTGAGAAATTTCCCCCCCAAATTTAGAGATGGTGTCCATGTGCATTAACTTCTGAGCCTTTCCTTTCCAGGCGGGTGAGACCATCGTCTCCAACAACTGCTCCACAAAATGCAATTGCCACCCATCCCGGGGACTTGTCTGTGAGGATGTACGGTGTCCCCCGGATGAGACCTGTGCCACGCAGGATGGGGTGCAGCGGTGTGTCAAGCTGGAAGGTCGGTGCCAGGTCTCCCCGGGGGCCTTCTTGACCACGTTTGACGGGGCCAGAGGAAAGCTCCTCGCCAGCGGCACCTACAAAGTGGCCGCCCTCTGCAACGAGCAGTCACCCAACTGGTTCAAGGTGGTAGTGGAGGTCAGCGAGTGCCGGGAAGACAGCATCCCGGCCGCCGTGGCCGTCTTCATCTTCTTCCGAGAAGCTTTTATCACTGTGAATAACAACATGGAGGTGTGGGTAAGCCAGGGTGGGGCATGGACAACCCTTGCAGGCGAGCAAGATGAAGAATTAAATTCAGACATGGAATTGGTGTGGGATTTGTCTCCGCTTCCTCTCGATGCCCTTAGGTGTTCAACCCCGATGATATCTTTGTGCTGGACCACTTTCAAGGGGCAGTCTGGGACTTTTTAACCCGTTTGTGGTGGTTTGTCTTGCTGTAGGTGAATGGTCTTTTCACCCGCCTTCCAGCTGTGGTGTCCAAAGCCGTCTCCTTGAGCACGGTGGCGGAGAACGTCACCATCTCCCATACGTCGGGGATGGATGTGCTCTTCAGCCCCAAAGGGGAGGTGACGGTGACCGTAGGGGCCACCTTGGTCAACCGACTCTGCGCTCCCTGCGGCAACTTCAATGGTGACCCCAGCGATGACCTGAAGCTGCCCGATGGCCGGGTTGTGAGGAGCATCGCAGAGGTCGTTGATGCCTGGAAAGCCAGGGATTTTTCGGGATGGTGAGTGACCCCAAAAGACACCCCCGCCCCCCAAAACCATGGGTTGATATTTTTTTTAAGCCTGGGAAAGCAAGAGGGTAGGGAAAAACCTCCATGGGGCACCAACGGGTTGGGCTAGGCGGCATCCGGGAAGGACTTCTCCATCTTCTTTGGTTTCATCCACAGCGACTGACACACAAAACCAAGGAAATTATTCTGGTAAGTGACTCTTCTCCTCCTTTGCTGCCACATCTCACGCTACAAACGCTCCTGCAGCCCTGTGATTGGATGAGGCTTAGTTTGTTCAACCCTCCCTAATTAATTACCGGAATAATTAGGGGTTTCTGGTGCCTCAGCATGGACCAGCCTTAGAGATATGCCTATCAAGAGTAGACACCCAATGCCTTAGCTTCGATGTAGGACATCCTGTACAAAATTGACCAAAATCATGATGCCCAGGAAAGTTTTCTTTGCAGAAAGAAAAATTGAGCTGAGGTTCAAGCTGCAAAATAGTTTTGCGGTGTCTCGCGGGATGTTTTCCGCTTCGCTGTGCTGCTCGGGTTTGTCCCCGTGAGAAGCAGAGAGGAAAGAGGCAAATTCAGCGATTTTGCTGAATATAGGGCAATTTCACTGAATAGTGAATGGTCTCACTGAATACAGGCTGATTTTGCCCAATATAGAATGATTGTGCTGAACAAAGGGCCTTCTTGCAGAATACAGAGCGATTTTGCCGAATACAGAGCGATTTTGCCAAATATAGGGCAACTTTGCCAAAATACGGGGCAATTATCCCAAAGACAGGGTGATCTTACCCAATACGGAGCGATCTTGCTGAATATAGGGCGATCTAGCCAAATATAGGGCCATCTTGCAAATACAGAGCAATCTTCTTGAATGTAGGGCCCTCTTGCTGAATATATAGCAGTTTTTGCCAAATAATGGGTGTTCTTGCCCAATATAGAACCCTTTTGCCCAATATAGAGCCCTTTTGCCCAGTGTACAGCTATTTTGCCCAATATACAGCTATTTGGCCTACTATAGAGCCATTTGGCCCAATATAGAGCCGTTTTGCCCAATATAGAGCCATTTTACCGAACATAGAGCAACCCCAAAGCCACCGCCGCTGGGCAATGAAGATCCCACCAAGGGTCATCCCATCTCCACCTTCTGCTTGCTCGCCCGCACACCTCGCCCTTGTGCACCCACCGGCCCGCCCTCACTCCACCGCCTTCCCCGGCAGTTCCCGCCGCTCTGCGTGTCTCGCACGGCACCTCCGCACCAACATCTAATGCCCCCAACGTGCCCTAACACAATCGTTTCAGCCTTGCTTCCCCTTTGCTGCTGGCTACGAGGACGGTCCCGAGGGAGATCAGACAAGGTTGCAACGACGGGGTGGCGGGTGGGGAGGGAAGTGCAATTTTTTTTTTTTGGCGACATCCACGACGTAGAAGATGAAGCCAACAATGTTGTAAGGCAACAGCCAGGCTTGGAAATTTTTTGAGCGCGTTCCCATGCACGGGGACCATAAAAACATGGTTGCATTGAGCAAAACTCACCTTTCAGGAAGGGGAAGATCCAACTTTCCGCCTCCCCGCGAGGATGCGATGATGAAGGTGAGGAAGATAAGTTGGTTCCTCTTCAAAGGGGGACCCTGACGGCTGCCCGCATTTCATTTCTTTCAGCCACGCCTCCAACCTCGTGCGGATGGAAGTGGAAGCTCCCGTCTACCCTATGCAGTAGGTGGAACCACGCAAGGACGGACGCGAGAAGACGGTTTCCACGTGCACGCGCGCACCAGTTCACGCACTTCTTGTAAATACTCCTGCAGAGGTTTTCACGCCTCTAGACACACCAAACCGGCATCTCGGGTTGAGTTTCTGCAAGCGCAGAAGCAAAACCAGCACTGAGCTACGACGGACGTCTAGAGCAGCGG